GGCACATGAGGAATGAGAGCTTGGAAAATTTGACACTCACAGGGACAGGGGGAAAACAGCGCATAATCTACTTAATCGGCTTCTTCAAATGATTGGCAGAACAGATTAGAATATATAGCAAAAAGACAAACTTTACTAGGGGCTACAATGGACAGGGAGTTGTGGAGTGCCATGATCGCCAACGTCCTAAAAGGACAGCATGCAAAAAAAATCAAATTGAACAGACGAGAACTGCAAGAGAATAATCTATTAGAATATAACTTATAGAATAGAATTTACAAATAGGTATTTCAGCAATAAAATGATTAGACCTAACCGCCAATCAAGTAAGGGATTTCAGTTCTTGAAATCGAGGAAACAACTAGAAGACTTCAGAAAAAAATCCATGAAAATATTTATAGAAAAGGTTCGAAGAAACTACGTCTGATGCCGAGGTGTCTGGGCCAGGATCGTTAACATTGCAAGAATCCCCAGAGACATTCCTTAAGCAGCTGATCGGATTTGGTAGAACTATTCAATTCATTATAAAGGGAAATATCAAGAAACCGTATGGCGCTGTTAGGTCCTTTTCCCCTTGTCAATTCAAATGGAGGTTTGTCTTTGATTGGCATATTTAATTTACGTTTTATTGTTTTAGCTATTTAATTTATTTATACTTAGAACTCTATAGATAAACTAACCTGGTGGAACTAGAGAATGGAACTAAAACAATTGCCTACCACCGTAAGGTTTCATCTCTGTACCTTTTTTTTTTATTGTTATGGTGACCTATCTACATTAGAATGAATCATAAATACTAACCTACGAGACTTCCTAAGTACAGTAGTCGGGACGCAGTGTAACCTGACAGTTCGGACGGATACTTCTACCTGTTGACTCTTATTTTGTATATATGTTCTGTTATTTCAATACACTTGTTCAACCTACCTCCTCCTTTCCGGGTCTTTCTTTCTGGCCCCTATCAGGTCACAAAGGTATGAATCCATCTCTTCTTCACCATTTGTGAGTTAAATAACAGGAAAGACTGATTCCCACAGCCTTGAGTGGCAAACGGTGTCGAAGAAGAACAACTCTGAATTCAAAACCTGAAAGTTTATGGACCAACGGTGACCCACACCATATTCTGTTCGTCTTCGGCTGTCAGTCAAGAACAAGGGGAAGAGATGGGCGCCGCCACGTTATGTGAATTCCCACTGAAATTATCGCAAGGAAGAAGAATCATAGTCTGCTTTTCTTTGTCCTCAGGTCTCCAACCCCAAAGATTAAAACAGTCGAGGGTTAAAAAAATTGTGTTTTGTTATATGTACCGATAGGTTCGAAAGAATTCTTATGCAAAAATTGTTATGGTGACCTATCTACATTAGAATGAAATCTTCCTCCTTCATAAATACTAACCTGCGAGACTTCTTAAGCAGAGTAGCCGGGATGCAGTCTTTGACTGTGTGCGACTTCTGTCGAACTCTCTGCTTTGGCAGAGAGGAACTCGGACGAAGCTTTGCCGCAGGGCAAAGTTTGTCCGAGGAGGTAGACAGATCCCGAACCCGCTTATGCGGGTTCAAAGGGGATATTTTTGGCCGAGCCTACGGGCCCGGAGAAACCCGCGTTAAACTCGGCCTTGTGCCACATACATTACTCGTTGGGGGACTGTTAGTCCGGACGGACACTTCTATCTGCTGATTAATAACACTTATTTTGTATATATGTTCTCTTATTTCAATACTTCCCCCTACCCTCTTCTTTCCATGTCTTTCTTTCTGGCCCCTAACAGGCCAAAATATTTATAAATACTTTCATGGTAATTGTCCGGATGAGCTTTTTGCTATGGTAACGAGACTTTGTGAATTTGAGCGCAATACTAGATTAATGTCGTGATGTCATCAATTTACAGTTGAGCTGGTTCGATGTAACCGTAAATTCTATGCTAAGCGTTTCTTTTCTCGCACTTCTAGCTTGTGAAACTCCTACGCGGCTCTTTGCTTTTCAATCAACTTTAATATACAAAAAATTAAAGGCAATGTCAATCGTTATCTTTTATCTTCCTGATTCCTCTTTTCTCTTTCTGCTCATTACTAATGTTTCTGGTCCTAATTCCTCCACACTATGTAACCCCTTGCATTTTAGTGGCTGCATTGCCTTGCTTGGGTTGATAACGATTAATAAAAATCTTCTATATATTCCGCAAATAAATATAAACAGGAATAGATAGGTTTGCCTATAGCCAGCTTCATAGTAAACAGGAGTAGATAGGTTTGCATATAGTCCACTTCATATTAAACAAGAGTAGATAGGTTTGCCTATAGTCCGCTTCATACTAAACAGGAGTAGATAGGTTCGCGTATAGTCCACTTCATATTAAACAGGAGTAGATAGGTTTGCGTATAGTCCTCTTCATACTAAACAGGAGAAGATAGTTTTGCCTGTAATCTGCTTCATACTAAACAGGAGTCGATAGATTTGCCTATAGTCCGCATCATACGAAACAGGAGTAGATAGGTTTGCCTTTTGTGCGCTTCATACTAAACGGGAATAGATAGGTTTGCTTATAGTCCGCTTCATACTAAACAGGAGTAGATTGGTTTGCGTATAGTCCGCTTCATACTAAACGGGAATAGATAGGTTTGCTTATAGTCCGCTTTATACTAAACAGAAGTAGATATGTTTGCCTACAGCCCGCTTCATACTAAACAGGAGTAGAAATGTGTGCCTTTAATCTGCTTCATACTAAACAGGCGTAGATAGGTTTGCCTATAGTCCGCTTAATACTAAATAGGAGTAGATTGGTTTGTCTATCGTCAAATTCACACTCATCTCTAGTTTTTTGAGAAGTAGAAGTTTATCCCATGTTCCCTGTTCATGATTGTGTTCCTGGTGCCTTTTAAAGTCTTTTCATTCTCTTTCACGACGAGTAGCCACTTTGTGTCTTAGTAGCATTATCGCCTTCCTTGGAGTGAACTGATTAATAAAAATGATATATTAAGTTATTTTTTCAGAATTTTAGGGTAATATATTTTGAAATACGTTAATTCTATAAACAGATAGGATAAAACACTGATAATAGGTGGGCCCACATGAAGACATTTTTTTATTTTTATTTTTTATTTTTGTTAGGAAAACTAGTCCATCCATAATTCCTTCATTTTGTTAGGAGCCATACGTGATGCGCCATCGGTCAATCAAATCATTTTCAATTCATGATTAATTTGATAGAAGGATAATCTGCTGCAGCTGCCTGCTATTTAACCCGTAGCTAGGGAGAGAATAAGTAGATTCATAACTTTACCGATTGTATTTTCTAGTAAGATAGGTTCGGTTATCGTCCGGTTCATACTCCTTCCATCTCTCTTGAATAAGAGGTGTATCCCTTGTTCTTATATGGGATTGGGCTTCCGGTTACTTCTAAAAATTTATCATTCTCTTTCACTTCCGGTAGTTCCTTGTGTCTTAGGGTTATTATCGCCTTGATTGAGGGTAATTTTTTTTTAATAAGCGAGCTCGACCTGAATTCGAACTCCGTTTTCCGATTCATCATTCCGACCTGTTATCCATCAAATTACTCACACGTTGGTAAAATTCTTAGTTAATATAAAATTACAGATGTGCTAATCAAACTAATGCCCGTATTCTTTGAAAGTGGAATCCTTGAGCCGAGTTCGGGGTAGTCGATAGCATTCGATTTCGGACAAATGCCCTTGAGGAACTCTCTCCCTCCAGTTATTGGTTAAGCTATCTAGACTTGGGTAGCAAACAGTTTAAGAAAAGGATGGGAAGACGACGATGTTTTTGCTTGCAGGAAAGCAAAAGTCATCGTGACGGAAAGTTCAAAGCTTACCGTTTAAAACCTCTCATGGAAATTGTATAAAAAGTCTCCTCAGGCCCGGCCAGTAAAATGGTCGCTTAGGAATACCAGGAAGCAGTAAGCTTGGATATACAAGTGTGGTAATGGATAATGATTCGGATTTGTTAATCGGAGAGCCGAGTTCCCGTACGATCACTGAAGTTAAGCAACGTCGAACCTGGTCAGATGGGTGACCGATTCGGAATACCAGGTGCTGTAAATTTAGATGTGCAAGTGGGGCAATGTATAATGAGCCGGACTTGTTAGTCGGAGAGCCGAGTTCCCGTACGATCACTGAAGTTAAGCAACGTTGAACCTGGTCAGATGGGTGACCGCTTGGGAATGCCAGGTGCTGTAAGTTTACATGTGCGATTGGGGTAATGGATAACGAGCCGGAATTATTAATTGGAGATACGAGTTCCAATTCCAGTTTGGTCCCTTACAAATACCCTTGAGAAAGTTACGAATCCACCTCTTCTCTCTTAGCTACGGTTTAAGTAGTAAGACATGTCACTCTAAACCATTATACTCTACAGGAAAAATATAAAATTGAGAACAGAATATTTAGATTTCGGCATTAAATAACCCATCGAGGTCTTGATATGCCACTAAATAACATCAACCAACCAAAATCCAAATATTTAGATTCCGGCATTAAATAACTCATAAAGGTGTTGACATACCGCTAAACAATATCAACCAAGCAAAATCCAAATATTTAGATTTCGGCATTAAATAACCCATAAGGATGTTGATATGCCGCTAAGCAAAAACAACCAACCAAGCATATAAGCCTGTTTTTAGTATAAGTTGCATGTTAACGCTGTGGATTTTGAAGCAACAGAAATGTGCCTGAGCAAATGTCTGCAACATTAAAAAATAAAAAATAAAAAAAAAAACAGTCTCGGTTCAATCAAAAGTTGCGTTAAGGCAATTTTTTTAACATTTGTTTCGTATTTAGGGAAATGTTTTGAGATTAACTTTTCAATACCCCCATGTATTTATCCTTGAACATTATAAGCACCATCGTGAATTTTCTTTCTAAGTAGAATAATCTACTCTCAAATCCTATTTATAAAACATTGTCAATTTTAAGTAAAAACTCAAACATTATTATGCCGAATAAAATTTTCTCATTCGTTGCAATGCTCACCTGTAAATTTCGATGTTGCAACCAGCTGAGCAAGACGCCGTGTTCGTGTTTGAAAACTGATGTTGAGAATTGTACGTGACATCAGCAGTGAGCGAAGCAATGACGTCATTGTTCTGATATAGCTCATCTTAGCAAAACATCAATACAATCATGACGACTACTACGATTCGTATTACTAGGATAGAGAACTCGTTTTGTTGTTATAGTTTTGACATCAATATTTATTCTATATAGAAATGGCGTGCACAAGAGGAAGTGACAAATTTAAAATCGAAACATTGTGAGTTTTGCTTTGAAAATTCAAACTAGAATAATTATCACTGACAAATGTTCATTTAGAGTCGAGAGACTAATATCTAAGATTACATCTATCTGTCTGCCCATCTATCTATCTATCTATCTATCTATCTATCTATCTATCTACTTATATCAGTCCTGACATAAATTTGTCTTTCATTTCGTCTTCGTTTGTTCATATCAATCTATATATCTCAGTCTAGTCATTTCTCTATCTATCTATAAATATTTTTTTCTATCTATCTATATCTCTGTCTGTTATTATCTATCACAGACTGTTCATATCTATCTATCTATCTATCTATAAATATATTTTTCTATCTATATTTCCGTCTGTTAATATCTATCACAGACTGTTTATATCTATCTATCTATCTATCTATCTATCTATCTATCTATCTATCTATAAATATATATTTTTCTATCTATCTATATCTCCGTCTGTTAATATCTATCACAGACTGTTCATATCTATCTATCTATCTATCTATCTATCTATCTATCTATCTATCTATCACTTTCTCTGTTTGATCATCTGTTTTTATCTCTAAATATCTATAATCATAAATATTTTTCATCTATCTATCACAGTCTGTTTATATCTATCTATCTATCTATCTATCTATCTATAAATATATTTTTCTATCTATCTATATCTCCGTCTGTTAATATCTATCACAGTCTGTTCATATCTATCTATCTATTTATCTATCTATCTATCTATCTATCTATAAACATATTTTCTCTCTATATCTCCGTCTGTTAATATCTATCACAGATTGTTCATATATCTATCTATCTATCTATCTATCTATCTATCTATCTATCTATCTATCTACTTAATTAGTCCTGACATAACTTTGTCTTTCAATTCGTCTTCGTTTGTTCATATCAATCTATATATCTCAGTCTAGTCATCTATCTATCTATCTATCTATAAATATATTTTTCTGTCTATCTATATCTCCGTCTGTTAATATCTATCACAGTCTGTTCATATCTATCTATCTATCTATCTATCTATCTATCTATCTATCTATCTATCTATCTATCAATATATTTTTCTATCTATCTATATCTCCGTCTGTTAATATCTATCACAGTCTATTCATATCTATCTATCTATCTATTTATCTATCTATCTATAAACATATTTTCTCTCTATATCTCCGTCTGTTAATATCTATCACAGATTGTTCATATCTATCTATCTATCTATCTATCTATCTATCTATCTATCTACTTAATTAGTCCTGACATAACTTTGTCTTTCAATTCGTCTTCGTTTGTTCATATCAATCTATATATCTCAGTCTAGTCATCTATCTATCTATCTATCTATCTATCTATCTATCTATCTATCTATCTATAAACATATTTTCTCTCTATATCTCCGACTGTTAATATCTATCACAGATTGTTCATATCTATCTATCTATCTATCTATCTATCTATAAATATATTTTTCTATCTATCTATATCTCCGTCTGTTAATATCTATCACAGACTGTTCATATCTATCTATCTATCTATCTATCTATCTATCTATCTATCTATCTATCTATCATAGTCTCCTCATATCTATCTATCTATCTATCTATCTATCTATCTATCTATCTATAAATATATTTTTCTATCTATCTATATCTCCGTCTGTTAATATCTATCACAGACTGTTCATATCTATCTATCTATCTATCTATCTATCTATCTATCTATCTTATCTATCTATATCTATCCTATCATTATCTATCTATCTTATCTATCTATCTTAGTCTCTATCTATCTTTCTATCTATCTATCTATCTATCTATCTATCTATCTATCTATCTATCTCTGACATTTTATGATCCCATCTATCTATTTATCTATTTGCTAGCATTTACGAACATTCTCATATCAGCACGAGGTCGTGTGGTTAAAACGTTCGCGTTTCGGCCATGAAACCCGGGTTCAAATCCCACCACGGTAGATTTTTTCAAGAAGGTGACTTCGTGATACTAATAGCATAGTTGCAGTGTAAACCACTCTTGATCTGTGGGTTTTATAACAAACACAAATATATCCGGGCAGTCATCTGCAGCAGTGATCGGCTAGCGCCCTAATAAGCGGGCATACGTAAAAGGGTGGGACCGAGATGGCAATCTAGTAGCACGCTTAAATTCATGAAGTCGTGGCACCGGGGGAAAAGCTCGTCACAGCAGTTGCCATGGAAATATCTGTAGAAAAGTGAGACTGAAGTCGAGACAACTGATCAGGAGCGATTACATTACAGATCCTTCTTTAGATTTGCTGAAGAACCTCGAGGTTGACAGCAAGAGCACAGACCAGATATAGCGTCAGTATTCAATGCACGGACGAATGCACGACAATATATATATATATATATATTCGTATCAAGAATATTTTTCGTCAGCTTCCATCTACCATTCGTCCGTAGATGGAAGCTGAGAAAAAAATACCCTTGATACGACATATATATATATATATATATATATATATATATATATATATATATATATATATGCAAGCTTCATTAAATATGACAAAGGTAGTTATAAGTAGTTCATTAAATATGACAAGGTAGTTATTGCTGACGCGTTTCGTCAAATGTCCCCTTGAACGAAACGCGTCAGCAATAGCTACAGTTTTCCTCCTGTCATTTATATTTATAAATATTGGCTTTTCTACAGGTTAACTCTCAGAAATTTTCATATATATATATGTATATATATATATATATATATATATATATATATATATATATATATATATAAAGAGGTAATAAAGAGGTAATTATATATATAAGCAAAAGGTAATTATACAAAGAATTAATCATTAAAGTTAATGTAATTAATGGCGAAATCTCTTCGCTAACAAATTTAATAGAACATTAACTTACTAACTATTTGCTAAATGACGCAATCCTTATGTATAATATTAAGTTGTATTTGATGTTCCTGTGCTACTAGTTCTTTGGAAAATCATCGCATTATCATCATCAGGCTTTTTTTTTTCATTTTAGCTAACTCCAAGACGAAAATAAATGTTTGTAGGCCGAAAAATGTTTTATAAGAGTGTGTTATTTATTAAAATAATTTCGGAATGTGCAGTGTCACAACACGAGAGTTGTATTTGAAATATTCCAAGTGAAAACATTTTTTTAAAAATATAGTTATGTGTTGATCCACGAATTTTTCTGTTATAGGTTTGTTTCAGATAACGTGACATGGACAAGATGGTCCAATTATTAGAGTAATGTCTTAGTTTTTAAAAAAAATGTTCTCAGTTGAAATATTGTATATACTGCACAATTTATTATATATATATATATATATATATATATATATATATACACCGGATCTCTTTCTCTGCTTTCACGGAAAATGCTCGGACATTCCTTGGTCCCGCTATGTCTAACCTTCATGGCTAGGACCCGCCATGACACTTAAATTGCAGCAAACCACCCATGTTTCGTCCGTATTCCATCGTTGGGACGGAAGTTCCACTCGAACAGCTTATTTCCGCGAAACACTAAATTGTGGAACCGACTCATACGAGGATGTTTCCACGATTACTACAATATTAAACTGTTCAAGTCTAGGGTTAAATATAATCTTTCCCCTCTTATTCATAAAACAGCCGCTTAATGTATCCCTCTAACTCGCGTGTCTCCCGGGCCTTGTACAGGGTGAACCTTACTGTGAAATAAAAATTGTTCCACTTATTTTCTTTGGGGAAACTTCATGATTCCAACATCCAAGAACTTGACATTTATCTGGGTGATAAACTTGGCAAAGTGATTTCTATAGACTTCGAGAGAATTGATTGTTTCGCCCATTAACATAATTTTTTAGGGATCGATATATGATGTGAATTTAGTTTCAACCTCTGGTAAGTTCAGCGGGTGTAGACGAAGATACTAGCCGAATATTAACAACGAGACCGCCAATACATGTGAGCTCTGACGTTGGTCTGGTTGAAAGACTAAACAGTTCCTTTTGACTTACATTTTTTATTTGTATTAGAGTTTAGCAACGTTTTTCGTGTTATCTAGAGCCAGAAAATATTTTTAGATTATAAGAGTCTTTTGAAGATAACAATGATTTACTTATACACGTTTGACTGGGGGGAGAAGTGGATTCATGCCTTTCCCTCGGGTATTTATGCATAAATGAATATAATTAATGTGACTGGAATTGGAATTTATGCTCTCCGATTTGCAATTCCGAGGCGTTATCCATTAGGTAAACTGCATATCCAACTTCACAGCACCTGATATTTCCAAATGCTCCCCTATCTAGTTACTGACCAGGCTCGACGTTGCTTAACTTCGGTGATCTTACAAGGACCGGGAGAACAGTACATGTTTGAATTCTTCGTCTAATTTCGTTGCTCATTTCTGTTTCCCTAGGATATTTCCTTGGACATTTTCCTAGGACATTTCTCTGGGATATTTTCCTAGGACATTTCCCAAGGATATTTTCCAAGGACATTTCTCGATTTTCCTTGGACATTTCCCTAGGACATTTCTCTAGGGCATTTTCGTTGGACATTTTCCTAGGTCATTTCTCTAGCACATTTCCCTAGGACATTTCTCTAGGGCATTTCTCTAGATTTTCCTTGGGCATTTTCGTGGGACATTTCCATAGGACATTTCTCTAGAGCATTTTCGTTGGACATTTCCCTAGGAAATTTCTCTAGGGCATTTTCCAAGGACATTTTCCTAGGACATTTCTCTAGCACATTTCCTTAGGACATTTCCCTAGGACATTTCTCTAGATTTTCCTAAGACATTTCTCTAGAACATTTTCGTTGGACATTTCCCTAGGACATTTCCATACGGCCTTTTCGTCGGACATTTCCCTGGGACATTTTCCGCTTCATATTATTGCAAATAATATTTATCATCGTGTGTGATCTTTCCTTTCAAAAATGGAATCCTTCTTGCATTTCAGCATAGAATTGCCGATGGATATAGGGAGCGTTAATTTTTTTTTCGTCACATCGTGAGACACGTAAACGTCATCGCTATTCACACATCAAATTGGTGTCTTTATGATACGTGAAGTATCTCTGTGATGTTCCGTGTCATGTGACCTGGATTATTCTGGTCAGCATCAAAGATGGCAGACCGATTGGAAAGTTCGCTGCACGATCAAAATTTGGGAGGTGTAACTAGCAAATACTACACTCAGCTACGGTACCAAAACCATAATGGGCACATATTCATTTGCTTATTTGAAAAATAAAACATTATCATAAACGAAAATACGACTTATTTTTCTCCATATTCATTAATTTCCATGTTCGATTTTAATGTAAAAACATTTAACTTCCCAATCCACACAAGATTCGTAGGGAAAAGACGCGTGGATATATTACTTTTCAAAACAGGTATATATGATATAAAATTCAGACACATGTGGAATGAAATCACGTATCCAAACGCTTTCTATTGATAATCTCTACTTAATTTTGGACTGAAAAATTGTGTGATGAGAAAGAGATTCTAAATTTCAGCCGACAGCAAGTGTAAATTGCTAATTCTAACCATAACCCGAGTAATAAATTACGAACGTTTTTCTTATAAGCGGCTATTATTAGCATTGCAAATGGGGAATATATATATATATATATATATATATATATATATATATATATATATATATATATATATATATATATATATATATATATATATATATATATATATATATATATATATATATATATATATATATATATATATATATATATATATATATATATATATATATATATATATATATATATATATATATATATATATATATATATATATATATATATATATATATATATATATATATATATATATATATATATATATATATATATATATATATATATATATATATATATATATATATATATATATATATATATATATATATATATATATATATATATATATATATATATATATATATATATATATATATATATATATATCTATCTATATATATGTTTGTGTGTCTAATATTTTCCGAAACAAAAAGTGGGATAAAACTGAATCACTAAGGAGTTTATCCCATCACAAACACTGACACACACATATATATCTATATATGCCTATATTTATATCTATATCTATCTATGCTTTTTTATATATATATATATATATATATATATATATATATATATATATATATATATATATATATATATATATATATATATATGTGTGTGTGTGTGTGTGTGTGTGTGTGTGTGTGTGTGTGTATTACCTCTTATTTCTTTCCGGCACTCATCATCACTGTCCTCTCTCTCTCTTTCGCTGTATTGAAATATATATTCATAAAACTACATGTACACATTCGCAAATACAAACACACACTGCCACAGCCACACAGAGACATAGACATACATACACACACACATAGGCGACATAATCATCAGGCTGATGTTTGTGTTTAGCATAAAACAGTCTGTCGCCTCTGAGTGTTGACTTCAATATATATATATATATATATATATATATATATATATATAGATAGATAGATAGATAGATAGATAGATAGATAGATAGATTGACTTCACTGTTCACTTTTATATTTACATAAGCACTATCTATAATATTGAACATTATATCTCATAAATATAGCATACCTTAAAATACCTATATATATATAAAGAAAACATTTTAAGGTATGCTATATTTATGATATATATATATATATATATATATATATATATATATATATATATATATATATTTATATATATATATATA